CACCATACAATTGGGAGGAAACCCCCAGGTCCCAGGTTCTCCATGAGGAGTAAAGTATGTGAACCACACCTTTAGCATCTTAACTTTCTGGCTCCTAACCATAGGACTGTCTCCTATCTCACCTATCTCAGAGAACTGATGGGGCTTAGCAAATGCTAGTTCCCTGGGAGCTACAGAGAACAAAGTAGCAGTGTGAACTAGTATGCAGAACTTGTCACAAATGCTCTCCTCAGCTCAGTGCAGAGCAAGAAAGTAAGAAATCCCAGCTCCCAGATTCACTTTGGAGAGTAAAAGAGTTGGACTATGCATCCAATGTACCAACTTTTTCTGGGGGATGTTAAATAGACTGGCTTTTTACCTGTTTGGAGTGCTAATGAGATTTTCATATTCTAGCTGTCTAGAAGCCAGTGAGAACAAATAGAGTGATTTGTTTCTAGTATGCAAATAGTCATCACAATCCCTATGCCAGGCTCAGCACAAAGCAAACAGAAGAAAACTCCAATATCCCAGAGTCTCTCTGGGAGGAAAAGAGTTGGACAAATGTCCAATGATCTAATTTTTCTGGGAGCTGCCTGAGGAACTGGCTTGATTCTCAGTTGTCTTGGAAAACTAAAGGAATCCAGCATAATCTTGATGTCTGGGGGCTTCTAAGAACAAAAAAAAAAAGTATGTCAGAAGAACAATACAATACAACTGGGTGTCAGTTGGGTGCCAACTCAGTGGGTACCCCTAGTCAGGGATAGGGGTCGGGGGTGGGTAAACTCACAACTAATGGAAGTGCAATGATGCACTGTATGGGAGAGAGACTGGCTTGGGTGGGGCAAATGCATCACTTGCAACCAAAATGTTTGTAACCCCATGATATCCTGAATAAAAAACAATTGAACGCAACATGGATCAAAGATCTAAAAAAGTAAAACTACAAAACTACTGGAATAATAAAATGGGCAAAGGGCTTGAATAGACGTTTCTCCAAAGAAGACATATAAATGGTCAACACAAGCACATAAAGAGATCTTCACCATCATTAGTCAATCGGAAATGCAAATCATAACCTTATTGAGATATAGCTTCACATTTACTGGGATGGCTATAATTTTTTTAAAAGGGAAAGTAACAAGTGTTGCCTGGGATGTGGAAAAATTGGAACTCTCATACATTGATAATAGGGAATGTTAAATAGTGTGGTCACTATGGAAAACAGTTTGGCCACTCCTCAAAAAGTAAAACATAGAATCACTCTATGACCCAGTATTTCCATCTCTAGATATATACCCCAAAAATGAAAGCAGTGTCTCAACATATATTTGTACACTTGTGTTCATAGTAGCCCTATTTGCAATAGATGAAAGGTGGAAATCACATAAACAAATGAATGAAGAAACAAAATGTGCTATATCCACACATTGGAATTCAGCCATAAAAAGGAACAAGTATTGATGCATGATACAACACGAATAAACTTAAAAAAAATCATGCTAAGTAAAAGAAGCCAGACACAAAAGGCCACATGATTTCACTTATATTCAATATCCAAAATATGCAAACCCATAGAGATAGAAAGATTAGTGATTGGCAGGGGCTATAAGCAGGAGGCAATGACTGACTGCTTCATGGGTATGGGCCTTCTTTTGGGTGAATGAAGATGCTTTGGAACTAGACAGACATGAAGATTGCACAACATTGTGAATGTACTAAATGCCACTTGAAAATGGTTAATTTTATTTTATGTGACTTACACCTCTATAAAATTGTGTGTGTGTGTGTGTGTGTGTGTGTGTATGTAATGATGGACATTAGGGTAAGTGGAAGAATTATACTTTATCATTTATTAACTCTTTTAAAAATTCTGTAAAATGATTTATCATTTATTAGCTTAATTCCAAATAATTGTCTGAACAGATATGAGATTTCCTCCTTCAATTACATTTAACTTAAAGAAATACATAGCTAACCACTAGGGCTTGAACTCAGGACCTTCTGCATGTAAAGCAGATGCAATAACCACTACACCATGGAACCACTGCAATTTTACTATATATGTATTTTTTTCCTGGTCCTGGAAAAGTCCAGCCAAAATATTAAAAAGCAACACTAAGGTTGGGGTTATAGACAGTTTTGATTTCCTTTCCTTGTAATCAGAAATTGCTGATGTTTCATCATAAACCTTCATGACCTATTTAATTTAAAATGTATAAAAATTAAAAAATCATATGTACTATAAAACAATGTGATATTCTAAATATGTTTGTAGGAATGTTTGTTCAGGAAATAATACTGAATATAAGCAATGATTTGTGCTTCAGAATATTCTTAGCACCTTTGGTTTGAATAAGGAAACACCAGAAACAACAAACACTTAAATCCACCAAAATAAGAGGCAAGATTAAGATGAAACCTATCAAAATATATCTATGACATATACCAAAAGGTTGGTAATTGTTATATGTGGATAGGAGAATAATTAGTGATTTTTATTTTATTTTGCCTATTAATGCTATTTGATTTCTTTTTAAAAATAAGCTTATTTGAATAATAAGCAAAACAAAACCTTTTCTAAAATTACAAAACAAAAAATGAGGTATGGCTTTACAGTATTATATTGGCAAAAAATAAAGTTTATAATACTCAAGGAGGACGTTATGCAAGAATTGGGCATTATCTAAAGTGCTGGTGGAAACATAAAATGGTATATACAGGCTACTTGATAGTACAGTTAAAGAGCATTAAAAGGCTTCAATTTCACTTTTCAATTTCACATTTAGTTATTTATCTTAAGTACATAATACTACAAGAATGCTACTACAAAATTATGCATCACAGATTCAGATTGCTGGGGAAAATTTAGAAATGACTTTAAAGTCCAAAGTAAAAAAAAACACTTTTAAAAAATTCTGATACACTTATACAATGGCGGCTAGCTATGAAAGAATATTGAATAACAAAAGATATTTTAGATATATTTGCAATAAACTGAACATAAAATTTTGATAGAATGTATTCAGTATGAATGTATAGAATATACATTTAGTATATAATATATTCAGCATGATTCTATATCTGTTTTAAAATTTACAAATAGGCAAAGCCTTAAAGATATAAAATAATCTCTTCCAAGTGGTTGCTGTATAGATATAATATGCATATCTTTTTAAAGCAATGCACTTGTAAAATGAAATAATTTTTAAAAACTCCACAAGCCCACCAATTTCTTATAACTTAAAAAACTTAAGAAGATGAGTAGGTAAATATGCACTCCTGTACAGTGTTGGTGGGAATAAACTTTACAGAAGAAGCATTTGGGAACAGAGGGCAAAGTATATAAGGCAATTAAATATCCCTAGATGTCAGCAAACATTCAGCTACAAATGTGTTCCCCATAGAGATAATCTTGGAAAAAGTTGAAACCATTTAAAAATATGTCTAAGGGCTAGGTTTTAGAAGTTATAGCTCATCCATAAAACAAAACATTAAGTAAAATCAAAATTGTAGAATATTTGATAGTTTGGAAAGATGAGACTTGTTATGATGAAAATATCCCACAGTGAAAAACATATATTCTACACTACATATTTCAAGAAATTATTTATAGATATGCCTAACATGTTTCAATTTTTTTTTGTCAAGTGGTGGAATTATGAGTGATTTTGACTTTTTTCCTTACCAATATTTTGAAGGGTTTTTGTTATAAAATACTGTTTATATAAAGATAATTGCTAAAATACATTTTTAAACATCTCTAATTACCCAGATAAAATATTAGAAGAGTGTAGAAATGACTGTAGTACCAAATCCAGAACATTGTCCAGGTGTACAGGTCCACTCAAAGTATTTCTACCCCTTATGAGAGTAAATGGGTGCTATCTTTATGGGTGGTAACTTACTAATGAACCAGATGGAAAAAAAGCTTTCAAACCTCACATATCCTTTGACCCTTCAATTCTACTTCCTCCCACATCCCTTGGCCCTTCAATTCTCCTTTTAAAAATGTTTGTTAAAGAAATAATTATGGGCCAGGCGTGGTGGCTCACGCCTGTAATCCTAGCACTCTGGGAGGCCGAGGCGGGCGGATTGCTCAAGGTCAGGAGTTCAAAACCACCCTGAGCAAGATCGAGACCCCATCTCTACTATAAATAGAAACAAATTAATTGGCCAACTAATATATATAGAAAAAATTAGCCGGGCATGGTGGCACATGCCTGTAGTCCCAGCTACTCGGGAGGCTGAGGCAGTAGGATTGCTTGAGCCCAGGAGTTTGAGGTTGCTGTGAGCTAGGCTGATGCCACGGCACTCACTCTAGCCTGGGCAACAAAGCGAGACTCTGTCTCAAAAAAAAAAAAAGAAATAATTATGAATGTAAGCAAGATTTGTGCACTATGATATTCATGGGAGCTTTGGTTTGGAGAAGAAAAAAATGGAAAAATCCCAGATTTTCAACAATGAAAAAGTAGTTAAAACAAATATATCCCTGTATCTCTATCTAAATATGGATACATACACATAGATATATGTAAATATGTATATCTTCTATCAAGCTCATCCATATATTGGAACACTAAACAGCCATGGAAATTATTTTAGAAGAATATTTAATGACATGAAAGGAAGTTCGAGAATATCTATACATCTATAATATATATTTATGTGTGAAAAAGCAGATATTGAAACAATATATACATTAATTTCACATATATATCACATGAAAAATACTTGGCAGGTACAGATGAAAATGTTTCAGGAATGTATGGGTAGTCATTAGGACTGATACTGTTGACATTAATTTTCTTCTGTTAACTTGTTTCTGCGATGAAGCTGGATGATTCTTCTGACAACAGGGAAAAGGACAGGAAGTGGGCAGAGGGGAGGGCTCATAAACAGTGTTTAATTCCAGCAAAACAACCAAGGAGAGTGAAATACCATTTACAGCCCATCAAGCTGGCCAACACAGACACACAGACACACACACACACACACACACACACACAAACGCACGCACGCACGCACGCGCGCGCGCGCGCGCGCACTCACGCGCGTCCACACACAGGCACACCAATTATAGTGACCAGGAGATTGCGCAGGGGAAATGGGCGTACTCTTTTCACTAGCTGCGCTGGCTGGCACGAGTGCAAATCGGTACGATGCTTGTGGGGGCCTTTTGGCAACACACAGGAAAGTCTTTAAAACGTCTCTATGTGGATCCTGCAAGTCCACGGTTAAGGAGATGCTAGCAAAGATTTGGCTTGACAAGGAAGGATTCACTCATCAGAGCACACGCAGTGTTGGTTTGGAACACAGGGAAAGAACTAGGCACCACCTGAATGTCCAACAATGCGGGAACGAGTACAGAAACGTTAAGGTCCATGGATACACTGGAGCACTCCGCAGGCACTGAAGATGACGTTTCACAAGCCTGTTGAATAACACGGAAAGAAGTTGAATGGGTTGATTTCTGTTTGGTTTTAGATGCTGAAAAAGCAGGTTAGAAACACCACACGCATGAACCACTCTATAACAGTGTGTCAAACGGGAAGGTGGGGTGGGGGGAGGAAGGCAGAGCCAGAGAGGGAGAGAAGAAAGCCTGGAAAACAGCACACCAAAAGGGCAAAAGCGGTTCTCTCTGGGTGGTAGGATCGCGGGGATCAATTACTCTCTCGGTTTTCCCCCTTCTGATTTCTAGCTCCTTCCCGGTGTGTCTACCATGATATCTGTATCACCTGTGCAGTAAACAAAGAGAGAGTGAAAATGCTTTTTAAGCTAAACCACAGGGAGAAGAGGCAGCCTTTAACCCACGGATGGCACGGAATAGTGAGATTATTCACGACACCCTTGGTGGGGCGAGCGGAGGAGGGCAGGAGAGGAGGGGGAGGGGCCAGGTGGAGAGGGGGAGGCGGAGGGAGCAGAGGGGCGCGGGGGGGGAGGAGAGGCGCGAGGGGAGGCAGAGGGTCAGGAAAAGAAGAAGCAGGGGCTGGAAGGGGGTGGGAGAGAGGGAGGGGGGAGGGAGGGAGAGAGACCTGCACTCCCAATACAATACACTGCTGGTGGGTGGGGGGGGCTGTAAACCGGGTGGGAGCCAAGGTGTGGCTCTGCTGGCTAGCTAGCTTCTGGGTGTCTTCATCGAAAGGTGGCCTCCTCGTCGGTGTCTTCCTCGAAATCCTTGACGTCAGCACTGGTGGACTGCCTGGCCCAGGCTCCCCTTTCGGCCTCTCGCTCTTTGTGCGACTTGAACCTCCCGACGAAAATCTTGCGGTAGTTGAGGAACATGCCATTCATCGCGTCGATGGCCCGCTCCGCGGACTCCTGCTTCTGGAAGTGCACGAACCCGTAGCCCTTGGGCCCCTTCTCGTCGCAGGCCACTTTGCAGGAGAGGATGTTGCCGAACGCGGAGAAGATGTTGTACAGCGCCTTGTTGTCGATGGTCTTGCCCAGGTTCTTGATGAAGACGTTGCCCACGCCGCTCTTGCGGAGCGAGGGGTCCCTCTGGGACCACATGATGCGCACCGGCCTGCCCTTTATGACATCGAAGTTCAGGGTCTCCAGGGCCCGCTTGGCATCCACCGGTTGCTGATAGTTGACGTACGCGTAGCCCAGCGAGCGGCGGGTGATCTTGTCCCTGCAGATGCGGATGGACAGGATGGGCCCGGCCGGGCTGAACTTCTCGTACAGCATCGCCTCCGTCACCTCGGGGTGCAGGTCGCCCACGTACAGCGAGGCCATGGGGAAGTCTGGGTTCCCGTCACAGCCGCCGCCGGCCTCCGCTTCTGCGTCCGCGGCGGCCACCGCGGCGGCCACGGCGGCGGCCACGGCCTCCTCGTCCTCGTCCGCATCCTCCTCCCCGAAGGCGGGGGCCGCAGCCTCCGCTCCCGTGGCGACTTCGGCCAACGCGCCGGCCTTGGCCACTGCCACGGCCGCGGCCACCCGGGCGGCCTCCGCCTCGCCCAGGGCGGCCTCCGCTGCTGCCTCCTGCGCTGAGGCCTCGGCCTCCACCTCAGCCTCCACCTCTGCTTCCGCCTCCGCCACGGAGGCCTTCGCCACCGCCTCTGCCACGGTCGCCGCCGCAGCCTCCGCCGCGCCGCCGCGCCGGCCGCACCGCCGCCGCCACTGTCGCCGCTGTCGCCACGGTCGCCGCTGCCGCCGGGCCGCTGCCGCGACCTCCCTTCCCGCGAGCCGGAGGATGGAGAGGCGGGGGCGGGCGGGAGGGCCCGCGGGTGCCGGGCCGGGCCGGGGCGCGAGCGGGAGCTGGCGCAGGGGCTGGGGCAGCCGAGCTGCCGGCGAGTCACCTGGGAGCCGAGCGGTGCCGAGAGCGCGCCGGTGCGAGTCGCCGCAGCCTGCAGCTGCCGCCGCCGCCGCCGCCGCCGCTCGGTCGTGGGCTAGCGTGCGGGGCGCAGGCGGGCGGGCGGGCGGCGTGTGGCGGGGGGCGGGGGGTGTTGGCGTCTGTGGTCCGGGCAGCTGGGAAGGCTTCTTTCTCTTTGGTTCCCCCTGTGGCTGCTGCGGGGCTGCGGGGCTGCGGGGCCGCGGGCGGGGGGAGGGAATAGAGAGAGATCCAAGGTCTTGCACATAAGTGGCAGAGTCTGGGTTGTATTCAAACGAGGCAGCCTGTTCCAGAGTTGGTCCTGGTGATCACTCTCTTATTCCACACTGAGCTTCCCTCTTTTGGTTTATCAGAATCTGTAAATGATACCACATTTGTTGAACAGATGGAAAAATGCATATTTGTGGAAAAAATGCTTAACAGTCTCCTTGCTATTGCAACCCCCTCCAATCTCAGACACCTGAGGTTACAGAGAACACAATTGTTTGTTTTATCTATACTTTCCTCAAGCCCATACAAATGCAGGCATCCCCTTTTATTGCAGCTCCCTTTGTCGCACCTCACAGATACTGCATTTTTCACAAACGGAAGGACTGTGGCAAACCAGCGTCCAGCAAGTCTATCTATAGGCGCCATTTTTCCACAGCACATGCTCACCTGGTGTCTCTGTTTCACATTTTGGTAATACTCACATTATTTCAAACACTTTCAATACTATTATACCTGCTA